AGTTTTAGATATACGAATCAGAAAATCGATTTTCAAAATAGATAAACAAATGAAATAGTATCTAGTTATGATTTAGACATTGAATCATAGAGACACTTGCAAATTGGAGCTGAAGAACAACTGTAAAACTCACTGGTTCCATTTGAATATGTATTATTAATTATGACCACAATGTTACTGTCGATAGATTTTCTGTGCTTAAGAAAAGAGCCGAGAGTTGGTGGATCTGAAAACTGTAGTGAGCAGAGTGACAAAGCATGAACTCTTTTAAATATAAAACCTTAGAATTAGTCTCCAGATTAGTCAAATAAAAAACTTCAAAGGTAACTGTCTAGATATGAGACTCAAAATTTATTTATCAACTACAGGATTAGAAAATACAGTGAGGACAATGGTACAACTAGATAAAATGAAGCCAGAATTTCAAGGTGGCGTTTGATTTGAAAATATTCACAGTTAATATTGCTTTACAACCACACTTATCTTGTATAAAAGTAGCACATGTTTAATAACAGTAAATCAGATTGGTAGTTGAATCTTGACGATTGACTGGCCGCCAAATAAACCACCATTCTTAGAGATTCGGATTCAAATCCCTCTATTTTATAGATTTCTATTTATTGTAATTGTCTGATGTAATGCGTTCCATCCATAAACCCGGATAAATACGTGCTAAGAAATCTAGTTAAGAAATTCATCATCTGACTAAATTACTCCCAGAGCATGAGGGATAATTATCTAAGATTTTTTAGCAACATGGTACTTGATTTTATGATTAGTTAGCTTCTAAAAGAAGTACTACGGATCACATGAAGTTTATCCTCTGTATAGTTTCATTTGGAAACTTGATTCGTGTCTAAATAGTTTAATATTAAAAAAATAAACGATACCATAGCGATTATCAATTGATGAGTATCATCTTTTGTCAACAAATTACTGTGAACTTTCCAATGTCACATAGCTGAGTAAAAAATATTTCACGATTTCGAGCTTCTTTCGGGCCAAAACTAATCTGTCAGTAATGGTTTATAGCATTAGCCCTCTAGTAAATGGTTCAACTTAATGTTGTGTAATATAGTCAGTTCCTATCAAGAAACAAAATTATAAACTCCCACGTGCACGAGTTTAATGTGTTATCTACGATTATAATAGTTTAATGTTAGTTCCTGAAAAAAAAAACAAATAGAGAGCATCCATTTATATCACAAAAGATCCTCTTAAAAATTGATATCTTGGGATGCCCTAGATACCCACCCATTTTTTTTCTCCTGGCTACTCCAAAATGTAAACCTTGTAAGAAAAATGAATCCTATAAAGGCCAAAGAAGATAGATGCAATATTCGAATTGACTAATTTATAGACAGATTCACTGATGTAAATTAGTTAACGAAATTATGACACTTAATTAATACAAACGAATGTTATTACTGAAAAGTTATACAAAACTAATATAATGCATGAATGAATCACATACTGCATCAAGGCATCGTCTTATACATGACTCCTTACTACAAGATTTTACTCACTGATTTAACATACCCAACAATTATGAAAGCTGAAAAAAAGCATAAATCAATGAATAGGATCTACTAGTGCAAATTTGAAAACATTGCCCATTACTATTCACCAAAAATTATTTGTATTCACTATTTTATCCTTTTCCGATTGAGAATAGAAATAATTGTATGATTTCATTTCGCTATATGTTGTAAGTTACATATTAAAGCAAAGTAGTAATAAGATAATTTTATCCATTAATATTTGGCAATATCTCTAATTGAGTCGATCTCTCCATAACAGCATATCGAATTCATGGCTACTAATTTGATTTATTTTTTTGCATTCTTTTAGGAGCGATTACAAAATACAATAGTATCAAAAATCCAGGTTTCACAGATTGGAATTGGTACTGCCAGTCGGAGTAATGAAAATACACTGAACACAGTAAAACAAGAAAATTAACAAACGTTAAAAATTTGTCACAGTCACATTAAAATGAATCTATGAAAACTAACTTAAGGCATAAAATAATGATTAGAATAAGGAAAACCATAGTATCTCATTATGTTACAAGTCATTATTAAAAGATGAATAATTATTTATCTGATATTATCATTTCTGTTTAGTATTTAATTCATTAACTAATAGCAGTGACCATTTTATTTTATCTCTTTACATTAGTCTATGTTTTAACATTGATTTAATGATTACCTGTTGGTGTATTTCGTTTATTCACATAGTTGTTTATGTATGGCGTGTTAATTTTTAGATCCAATAGATTTTAAATAAAATAGTAGAAATCTATATTTAATAAATACATAATTTCCAAAGTATAATTAACAAGTTAATCATTATTAGCAAAGATGGATGACGGCCAGCAGTGGAATCCAGGACGCGCATTTCGCCCTATTTGGAACTCGTCAGCCGGATGTACCTGCATACCAGAGTTACTGTTCACTCCGGGACTCGAACGCAGTATCGTTCGCTCCGAACGCCATCGCGTTATCCACTTAGCTACTGAGTCCTGATAGCAACTAGCTTGTGTTTGTGACTTATTGGCATATGTGCATCCTGTGCGGATTGTCTTAAGAGACTGATCAGTTACACTCTTAAACGTCAATGGGAAAATTCGAACAAACAACATAAAATGAATTTATCAAGTCAGTCGTTTATACATTAATAGACAATTTTAATTATCATAATAATCTTCGTTTTCAAACTGTTCTAATTGGCTACCTAAATAAGGCTGTTGCAATTACGTAAGAATTATCCTAGGTGCACAGACATAAAAACAGTAAAATACTGTTTGGTTATCAAAAGCAATAAAATGTGCAGATTCGCTAAATAACTACATGTCTAACTACAGCTGAATTTATCTAAACACATAAACATTGGTACGAGGCACCAATTAGATATGCGTCATATAAATCATTCCATTTGTGTGAGAGCTGGGATACTACCCGGGCGCCCAAACCGAAACAAGTAGTTTTCTTAAGGAGCCACACCCCAAACCTTTGATCTAAAGGTCTAATTCATAAGGCAGTGGAGCAACGTAAGGAAATGCAGTCCCATGGTAGCCAGTGACCAACGATTGGTTCATACGCCATTTGTTCCTTCAGGATCCTGGAGCCCATGTGCACCATTGGTTTGGAATATGGGTTTTCCAACTCTTCAAGGTAGATTCTCCATATCCACAAAACCGGTTAAAGCGCCGGACATTCGCTTCTTGTCCTCTTAATTTGGTAAACAACAGTAGTGCCACGAGAAGGTAGTGAGTAGGACTTCTATGGCAGTGATTGTATGCACGCGGCCATGTGAGAGCATTTCCAAAGGAAGAGCTGACTCGCCCCACTCGTGACCGTGCTAGGGTATTTGGGGGCCTGCAACTCAAGATGTCAGATTGATTGATCAATCAAGTTAAGTGTTTAAAAAATATAATTCAAACACATATTTTCGATAACTCTCCGTGGAAGTCTACATCTCCAATTAAACATATTTACTTTGAACTAGTTTATTCAAAGTATCTAAACGAATACACAAGTTAGAAATATCGTCACTTATACCTTTTAAAATGCGATTACAATTAATCTCCACTTTTTTATATTTTAAATACTAAATAACGAATCTAAAGAACTATTGAATATTTTGGGCTACATTAATCTACTGAAAATAACATAACATTAGTTACAGAAAAGCAATAATATTTTATTTATGGATAGGAAGCGTAATTAACTTAATTCCCCTTCATGAAAATAAAATTTTCAGCTATATTATCTCGAAATAGAAGAATACGCTTATTTACTGTGATTTTACCCTAAATTTTCGTTAATAAAGTTCAGCTTATACAATTGTAACATTTTACTGGTACATAGTTGATAAGAGAACATCAATCGAACGAAGTAGTAACATGTTTGAGAGGAAATTGATTATATTTACGGGTATGCTTTATACTTATTTGAAAAACATTAAATATTTTCAGAATACATTTGATTGCAAACGAATGTGAAGCATTTTATAAACTTCGGTTGAATGGAAACCTGCTTCGATTTGGGCTACCGGACATCATACAAATCGGATGATTTGTGGCGCATGTGTATTTGGTGCCTTCTTGTACCAATGTTTATGTTTTTAAATAACTATTATTGTTACTAGTAGTAGTAGTAGTAGTAGTACCGGCTTTATATATGTGAAGCCAATATCTAAATTTAATTTTGAACATAAAACAATTGTTGAGAGACTACAATAACCTCTGAAATATAAATATTCGTTTCCTGTGAAATAATGAGTATTTGTAATAAATACTCATGAACAGTTTCATTGTTATAAGTGTCCCGAATCAATTTCGCTCATACTCTTTGTGAAAAGCCTATGACGAGATTCTTCATTCCAAATTACCAATCGTACAAGTACTACCACTAAATAACTTATTTCACTTTATTGTCCCTTGCTTATAATAAGTTAAGTGCACATATCACAATGAATCATATCTAGTGTTTTGAAAATGCAGTCCTAGTGGTATAATTTAGAGACTGACGTAATGTAATTGAAATACGGGCTAAAAAGAGTAGTGCGCATTTTGTTGTATTAAAGCACCGGACTTGATCGCATAAAAAGATGAATTGAAAATACAAAATTCTTAACTAGCACAAAACTCGCTGCATAACTGTTGCTAAAAGTAGCACATTACCTGATGTTTAGTCCTTAAAAACCAATATTGAAACCATCACACCTGGAAATGCACTAGAAAGTACTTAGTATATATTAAGGACATGTTGTGACTAAAAAAATAAAATCATATAGATAGTTTGTCAATGTATGATTTCTTGAAAATCTCTTTTGATTTTTACAAATGGTACATATGAAAAAATCTAGAAATATACAAGCGTAATTGACCTTTTGGAAATAATGCAATGTGAAAGTAGTGTTATTTTACATGCATCTATATATAAAGAATAAATTGTTTCATATAAACAAAGAGAAAATTTTTTTAAAGAAATTTGTTATTCATAATATTTAGCACCTCCTCCATCATCATCACCACCTAGACCATCATCACTAAAATCTTTTTCACCATTGTCGAAATATTCTTGACAATAATCATTATCAAATTCATCATCATCAAGTTCATCAATTTCATCATTTTGATTAACATCACCATTCCACCGAGCATCTTCTGAATCTGCATCTTCATTTTCACTATTATTTACATCGATTTTCTCTACATCTTCTACAATGATGACAAAAACCGAAAATGGGATAGTTACATTTTAGAAGATTAATATATATTACTGAATTGTTTAGAAGCAGTTACTATATAGTATTACCCGATAATAATATTTATAAGCGTTTTTGGTGACATCATTATTTTTGTCACATATCATTCAGTACTTTTTGGGGGTTACTAACCTGTATACTGTTGCCCGACTATTTAAATCTATGGATGATTATCATACAAATACCTTATAATTAAACTGATCAATCACTGAGTAGTGTCATAGCATAATAGTTAAGGCACTTGTTTATCACACGGTAGGTAGTAGTCAATCAGTCAGTCAGCTACAAGGTTGAACCAGGCACATATATGCATCGATCGAAGTTGCTATACCTCATTAGCACAACAAGGTGAATACCAAATTCATAGAAGTCACTTCAATAGTAACAATATATAAAAGAAAGATTGTGTATAAGGATATAGTACAGGAAGAAAGAATTAGTCCGTAGAAAGAAAGTTATACAGTAATTTTGATCTCACAGTTCAAAGGAAGAAAAAGAGTGTATACACCGACGCCACTGTGATCGATTCTGAGCAATATCATCCAGTCTCCAACCATTGGTTACGATAGTCACGCGGACCACAACCAAGTAGTCTGGATCTCCTAACATGACTCAGACTAGAAGTTAGTGACTTCACAGACTGGTGCCACGTTGTCCTTCGGCCGCCCCTAACTTTGTCCCAACTTCCCCCAACACTAGTCAGCATTGCGCGTCGTGGTAATCGGTGGTCGAGCATACGTAACACGAAGCCCAACCATCCCAGTCATTGAAGATTTACAACCTCATCAACTGATTAACCAGCTCCATCTACTTCGCCTTGGGCAGACAAGTAGTATGCTAGCCCTCAAGCAACTAAAGTATGGATCAAAGCTGGGTATATGAAATCAGAATTTGGGACATGAGCAAGTCAAAAATAGCTAGAGAATGAAGAACTGTCTCATGCTAACAGAGGTCGTTATGAGTCGTAAATTAAGGATTGATCTATCGCCTAATGCCCTTAGCATTTGAAGTTAAATGTCCCGAGTCATTTCATCACTACAGACTATCTAATAACACATATATAGAGTCATATAACAAAGAAATAATCTCACGTAGTGTGCTAGGTAGTAACAGATAAGAGTAAGTGACCTCTGCAGTTCAGTTAACTAAGAAGAGATACCTTTTAACCGAAATAACAAATAATAGTGGAAATCTGCATTCTTGGAGGTGGAATTATGGAGAAAATGATGGTTTGATAGCTGAAAATGGTGAACAGTTTACATCCAGAAAAATCTATAGATATTTTATAAACGGGCTTTAAAAAATAAATTGCCGGGAATATTCTGATTCTCCCAAAATTGCTTACAATGCAAACTACTTTGTTGTTTCTGGCAATTTTGAATCAATTTGTGAAATGAAATTCCTCACGCCTCGCACTCTTCATAATTCCGACGGTCAAGGATTTTTCTATTAGAATTAGTTCGTTAATATTTTGACAAGTCCTGTTTCGTCCTACTTCGAGAGATATTGTAAGTATATTGATATGTAATAGTTGTCTCCAAAGTCAATTCTTTAATTGATTCAAATAAATCCTCTGTTCAAAATTTGACTACTCCTTTTACGAAAGTTGGAACTGAAGAAAAGGGGAGATCATCGTTGGTTGATGTAGTCGCAGGGACGACTACATTCAAGAATTATCGACTCGTATAAACTAACTGATATTTTTTCCAGTTATCGATGTCTTGTATCAGCGATGAAATCATTCTATGGGTGATTTGAGTGACTAACAGATGTAAATGAAAATGAGTTACAAGCTTTTTAGCTGCACTAATAGTGCTACTTCAGAATACTGGAAAGAATAAAATACATGTTTAACGCTTTTTGATTAAGTCTCTTTATCGGAAATCAGGACTGACTATCGAGTAAAAATATAAGAGGCTACAGTTGAATCCTAAAGACTGGTAAAGAATGAATTTTTTTATTGTAAGCACATTTCACTTTCGTAACTACATAGCCATTTTGGATATATTAAGATTAAGATCAAAATCATTTCGAAAGTTATTTTTTCCACTCATTAAAACTTCTGGAATATAGTGAATGAAGAATTTGAAGCATACAATGAATAATCCTAACCGAAAAACGTGTAGCTAGCCTATTTTAGCAACAACTTAAACTTATCGCTTTATATAGACAAAGATACAACGTACCGTCATTTTCTGGAACAGTTTCAGTGACTTGTTGGATAAAACTGTCAGTTATAACTTGATCAATATCGCAGTAATTCTGCTTACTACGTCGAGAAGCCAATTTTGATTTTCGCGTGGCACGCCTATTACTTTTTAAATTGATTCGGGTTCGAGAAATCAGTTCTTTGGGATAGCTGAAGATAAACAGAGTCAAAGAACGACATACGTACGATAAAAGTAAGCGAGATACTACTTGTTTATATTTCACCAATTATATATATATATATATATATATATATATATATATATATATATATCAAAAAAGTTCATAGACATCTAGGCTTTACAGTTTTTATTATTTTCAGGATATTTTAGAGTAATAATCGAACAGAGCACCACAAGATGTATTATTATTAAGACTGTGGGAACAAAACAACAAACCAAAATAAACAATAATAGGATTTTATCGAATATTCCCAGAATATGATGAGTTGATCGTATTTTGTAGTTCTTTCCAGCTAAATACAAAATAATAACGTTAGTTCGTTCGAAATACTGATCTAATTATGCAGTTAACTGACAATTTCTACACAACTAAAGTTATGTCACAGCTTAGTATTCAACGTACAAAGCATATTACAGCACCATTAATCGGCAGAATTTAAATAAACTACCAGACTTACACCTTCAATTGATCAAACTTAATTAACAAAACCTTGTTCGGGACTATAAGACTGATAACTTTCAAAGGTCAATCAACTGTTGACGATACTTAAGCTACTCCTGAGTAAGTACGAGAGAATAACTGATCAAGTTTCATATATGCATCATCGAAGTTCAAACAGAAAAGATAATATTCAAGCCACAAGTTGGCTACAGCAACTTTGTGAATTTAAAAAAAACACTTCTAAATAAAGTGGAACATTCCAATCGTTGGTTACTAACTCAGTATGGACAAGGATTTGCTCAGTATTAATTATCACAGTACAATCTCGAGTTTGCATTTCCTTCAAGCCAATGCTAAAGTTACCTGAATTCCAGTAAATGTAGATATGTTCAGTGAGACTCTGACCTAACACCGTTTGCTTCAAACACTGTGCTATAAAGCTATAACAAGAACTTAACCTCGAAAAATATCACTTATTGTTATTGGTATTTGGAATTCTCCGTTATCAATTTGACGGTATAAGGACATGGTAAAAATAAACAAAATTTTCAGTATAATCGCAGTTAGGTTTTATGAGTAGAGAACTTACAAATCCTCAGGTTCTTTTATATTCATATCTTCGTCAGACCACTGATTAATTTCATGAGAGACCAGAAGATGTAAAAGAGATACCATATTTTGTGATTTTTTTCTGAGATTTAAGCTGTTACTGGATAATAAAGACGATACATCGATTCCTTCTGATAGCTCTGGAACTGAGTGATAAAATGGACCAGAACGAAATGCAGCTTCCATTTTGGCCGTTATTTCAAACTAAATTAACAGGATAAGACAAAATTTTATATAGCACAGTCTATTTCAAAATGCATTATCGAATTTGTCACTGTATACTTCAATCATAAAATATATCTATAATCCGAAGGTCTCGCTATAACTAAATTATTGTACTTACACGAGTAAACATGCGTACACTTCTACGGAAGGTTTACTAATTTCTAGTTACAATTTGCTCTGTTCCTTAAAGTCTCACCAATACATAAACCTTTGAGTATAGTTACCTAGAAAAAAAACGTCAGAGAATTCTAGCAATTAAAAGTCACTTATTCTTTAACTTTTAATCTCGACTTTAAGTGAGATATTTACGTAGCTAATCAACACAAAAAGTCTTCAGTTAACAAGGAATTCCAGAGGTTTTTTGAAGATTTATAAATGTGGACAAAGTATGTCTTGGGTTTGTAGCTGAATTTATAAGAAACTATGATACAGAAGTAATCAAAGTCTGATCATAAAGCAATATTTAGAAGTGTTCTTTTATATACATATGAAATACAAGGTTGTCACCAAAGGTGTTCAAAAAACGATTATCAACATCCACAACTACTGACTAGACTAGTTGAAACAGCCGTTTGGTAGACTGTCATGTGTACAAAACAGATGGATGAATTCGAATACTGTCAGTGGTTGAGAGCATTGGGAATTGACCCTGTATGGAGTGAATTAAGGGATCAAACTGTTAAATGGATCACTTAGTAACGGAAATCGAAGAGTTTTCGTTAGTACTTGGATATTGTGGGTTCTACCATATGAAAACCAATGTTTTGTAGACGTACACTATCTACACTAATGTTATTGTTTCTAGTTCCGCGTACATGAGTCGATCTTAAGTAACATGTCACACAATGGTAAGAATATGTACAAGCATACGGCAACACCAAATCATTCTCGTATTCGAAAACAAATGGATATGGGTAATAAAACAACACTAAAGCACTTCTTTAAAAGTTATCTCAGAAAAGCGGCCTATCAAAAGTAATAGAGTAACTGACTAACTTTAACTTTATTTTTGGTTTTTAACGATGATAAGAATGTAGCTACATACCGTAATCAGACGTATTTGTGCAAAGAGCCTCCGACATGTTAAAATAATGCACAACAAAACCCTACCATAGAGAACAATTTCAGGATACAACTGTATCAAAAGTACAAGGTCCTAACAAAATATGACCGGACTCGAAATATATACGACTGCTATCAGGCGCTTAAGAAAGTATAAGCATTGACCAAACAACTAACCACAGAATCAGATGAACCTAATCATTTTCCTGTTTCTCATAGTCTGCGTAGTAAGAGAGCAGTTCAAAAAAATTGATTGAGGTATATGGATGGTCATGAGTACGTTATTATTACATGGCAATGGAACATTCAGCGTCTTATCATCGTAGAAGACTTAATTAGTTCATCCCTAACCCTGAGAATAGTTAAAGTGTGTGATTAAAACCAGAAATCTTAATGCACTGATTTTCTTGACTACGCATTCCATAGGTAGATCTAAACTGATGGACTACGAAATACAGATTAGTCATTCAGTAAAGAATGACTGACCAAGCATAAATGTGCATCAGTATAGCTCAAGCACTACATTAGATCAGTAGAAGAGGAAACTACTAGCATGAGACATAGAAATAATGGTAGCCTTTATGGCAGTAGAAAGATTATTCGAAAATAGTAAGTAAAGTCGAGAAACAGGAGGTACAGAATAATATTAAGATCTGGGATTTCAAGATAAAGGAAATGTGTATACACTACACTGCAACAGATTTAGAGCCGTTGCTTAAGACTCAAATAAGATGGTAATTACTTAATGAACTGATGCCAAGCCAGGACTGATAAATTAATCTCGCTTAAGTAGCAAATCAGTTGAAATGCTATCAAGTGTTCCCCAAGGAGTGTTTTTATGAGTTAAAAGGGACTGCCGTATAATTTAATTACATCACTGATTCTCAACAAACAGCTACTACCTTTGCATTGCGATGACTTGTTTACTGCAGTGATACATTTGAGCTATATTAATCAGTGAGCGTTCCCTAACGTCCTACCGTCTGTTAAATTCTAACCAAGCACCAATTAGACTAAGTGCAGCTAAGATTTTACTGGATATAAACCTACTAAATATATTGAAATCCCATACGGGTACCTCTGTGCAACTGCTATAGATCTCAAGCAGTTATCTCTTTTGGTGGATGAGAGCATTCTCATTTAGTTCGTCCCCTGAACTCAGCAAGCTTCTCATGATTACTAAACAAGTTATTTGTAACTTTTTCATCCATTTTAATTCTGAATGCCAAAATTCTCTTCTACACTAAATTCAGTTCTTCACTGATATACCGGGATGTCTCATAAAAGATATCCAAGCCCTATACATCTCTGCTGAAAAGTCATTGGTCACTAACAAATTACAATGGATTCAATCGAATGGGTACAATGAGAACTTAAGTAAATCAACCAGTTCACCCTATAATCCTAAAATAAATAGTGGCGATCAACAGGAGGTATAAAACTAGTTCCCAAATTAACCAGTATCTAACCACTCTGACTGTTTAAACAGACCAATGATTTTAAATCTATGGCAAATATACAGCACACTCGAGCACAAATATCTGAGAGTTTGCACACACGAACTGCTGAGGATGGTCACCCTGAATTATGAACTAAGATATTCATAAAACTAAGAGATAGTTTTCTTCGTGTTATATGATCAATCTTGATCTAACAATGATGGCCTAAACCAGAACCGACATCTGAATCTGAAGACATTTTAATTCTTTATACGTATGTTTAAGGACTACTCAAGCAAAGAATAATACGTGCATTTTCAGCAATGATGATAAAAGCCCACATGGTGTTATCGGTCCTTCCAATGTTTACATCACCGACATTAAGCATTCTGACATTAAAATATAGGCAGTTCCCAGGTCATAACATAACCATCATACAATACTAATGAAAGGAAGGTTGTTAATTAGTTTTGACTACGAACTGCAATCATCAAAAGGGTAAGAGAACTGTTGTTTGCTAACATAACTGAAGACTATCTCCTCATGTATAACAGTTGTGAGCACAAATTTATTTTAAGGTTGGTACGGAACATACAACCATGTAACAATGAGACTAGGAACCAAAGATGAGTAATTCACGTATCGAGAAAAAACTACTCCACGAATGACAGAATACATGTTGATATGTGAACATAAATATTACATCCGACAAACAACTGGAGGTTTTACAATTACATGTAAGAACATGGAAGTGATCTAGCAATTTTATACATACCAAATTTATCTGTAAACTATCGATATCATCTTTTACTACGTCTGGATTGTTGTTAGCGCTGGAATCGCTTAAAGATGAGTTAATGGTAACCTTAGGGACGGAGAAAGGTATCAAACGGCTGACCTCGAACTTAGGATCAGGTTTGGTAGGAACAGAGTGGGGATCAAATAGACGACGTTTCACACCATCACGAAGACCTGATAAGTTCGGACCGCCACCACGACGTCGACCTCGATTCATGCTGAAAAATATATGAGGCGAACTAAATACAACCAATAACACGGAAAATTTTTGAGAACATAACTTATTGCAGAGATTATTTACACAATTACATACAAAACATTTGAGGTTTATACATGCACATCAGAGGCTTTATTAACCAAAGCCTGTGTTCGAGCAGCTCGTTCTTTCCGCAGTTCTTTACGCCTGCGCTTCTTTTCCAATCTTGCTTGATGAATTTGTATGAGATCTGAATCGCCATCTACAGTACTGTATGTAAGCTTAGGATTATCTGAGAGTTTGGAAAAGCGCTGGTCGGCTGAGGCTTCGTTAAACTCTGCAATTATATTTTCAGAACGCGATGAAGCTTTAGGTACGTTGTCAGGATAGTTAAGCTTGACTGTTTGGGTAAGGGATTTCTGATTAATCCCCAGATGATCTTGTATTTTGTTGTACAGATTTGCAGAAATGAAATATCCATGCATGTAAGCTCTCAAAAATTGAGTTCCAATGAGCTCTGACATTCCCAAATCTGCTAACTGTTGACGAGTGATGAATTTGTAACCGTCATACATAGTTGTAACATCTGGTTCGCATTCGACCACAAGACTGTCTAAATAACTGCACCAGAAAGGTGCCTCTCCAAGCAGTGGGATAAAGTAGGTAGAAATCTTGGGAGACTCTGATGCAAACATGAGTAATCCACTGTTAGGAAAGTGATACATAGAATTACAATCTGAAGGACCAATATTGAAACCAACAAATATCTTGCCAGTATCCACTGACCATATTTTACAGCAGTAGCGCAGGGCTGCTAACACTTTGTCATCATGAAAATGAATGGATTTGATAGGCTCCCTGTATTCTGTGTCCCGGACGTGCCATGGCTTACGATTTTGACGAAGGTCGTATATGTATACCATCCCATCTCCCGTGCCTATTGCGACGTTGAGCGAGTCTTTAAATGACAGGCAAGTTACAGCAGTTGATCGCCATTTATTCTGGATATCTTCTGGTGTAGGCGCGTATTCACATACGTTCAGACCAAATACATGCTCAGAAGTTCTAGTATCCCAACCATCAACACACCCTATTGTCGACGCACCAAGTAACAAACCATAATTTCTCTCAAAGCTACATACCGTTAATCCATGACTAGAGTTTTCTAAACGTTGGGAGACTAGAGATGTTTTGAAACGACCTTCGGACAAATCCATTCGGTATATATGGTTGCGAGATGAGGCAACAAAAAGATCACACGTGTAAGGACAATAATCCAAATCCACACCTTGTTTCGGAACTCTAAACTTCAAGTGGTGTCCCCCAGCAGCATGAATTTCAACCCATCTTTCTTCCTCCAGTAAGGCAAACTTGGAGTAGTTGTCACTAAGGCACACCATTTTATATGGCATACAGTCAAGACATCGATCAAACTTCATTGAAAGATTTGACAGTTCGTAACATTTGACTCTAGGTTTATAACGTCCTAGAGCGAACAAGTACTGACCATCTGGTGAGCAAGTTAAATAAGTGGTTGAATCGGGCATTTCTAATTCCTGAATAAGTTCAATGCGCCGACTTAATTCCATATCTGACTTCCTTTTACGCTTTTCAGACTTCGAGGCCCATTCTGGAAGGGAACGATTCGCTGTTAGATTGTAAACCTTCACGCCATTTATCTTAACAACATTCATGACCTCGACCAGTTACGACTTACATATAATGACCGCCTCTATATTTTCAAAGCTAAGACAATAGTTTAGGCTCAAATGATTAGAGATTGATATTTCTCTGTTTTATTTCCCTTCTCATTAGTATGTTTTTGGATGCGTAGTTTTAACTTCTGGTATTGTGTTGTAACAACTTTGGAGAGAGATACGCAACCAAGACGATATACAGGCATTTCAGGAGGATCTGACTCGACTTCAAAGTTGGGCAGACGATAACGGACTTACCTTTAACACTTCAAAGTGTAAAGTAGTCCATCTGCGACATGTCTCAGACTACAGTTATAACTTAGGTACCTCCTCTCTAGTAGTATCCCAAGTCGGAAAAGATTTAGGAGTCCTGGTGCTCTACGATTTAAAGTCTTACGCTAACTGTGACAAAAATGCCTTCCGAGCAAACCTTTCACTGGTAACATTGAAGCGCATTTTTGGCCAGTTTGACGGAAGAACTTTCCATATAATCTTCAATAATTTTATCCGTCCCCATTGAGAGTATGGAAACATAGTATTTCCCCCCTCATTGCAAAAGGATAGGGATACCCTGGAGCGTATCCAACGGCGAGACACGAAATCAGTTCGAGGACTCATTTAAACCTTACGAAGAGCGCCCCTATTCACTTAACCTTTACCCATTAGAGTATATACGTCTTAGAGGTGATTTATTAATGGCTTATAGTATCCTTAACACTTCTGGACATCCTCTCAAACACCTACTTAAGCTTAGTTCCAACACTAACCTAGGAGGTAACACCCAAAAACTGGGGACACAATATAGCAGAACGGACTATAGACATAACTTCTACTCCTTAAGAGTTGTCAAATGCTGGAATGCGCTGCCGAGCGAGCTAGTCCAAGCGACTTCCCAGGAGTCCTTGAAGAGGCAACTTGATCGATTCTTAAGGACTAAGGATAGTATCACACTATGATTTACTAATTTCTTTTCCTCTTTTATTGTTAACATACCTAGGTTTCTGCCTGGAGGATTTGGTGATCCCCTGCTACTAGACACGGAATCCTGTTAAGCGAAAGCTTCTTCTATTCCGTCCACAACCATTTGAACCATTTGAACTTTGTTTTAGATTCTGTGCCTATAGTTCAATCAGCTATATTGTGTCTCCAGTTTCTGGATGTTATTCCTAATGTTTGTGTTGTGGCTAAGCTTAAGTGGGTGTTATAGGGGATACTCAGAGGTGTTTAGAACAATATTAGTCATTAGAAGGTAACCTATAAGACGCCTGTACTCTAATAAGTGAAGATTTAGTGATTTAAGGCGCCCTTCATAAGGTTTGAACATGAGTCCTCAAAATGATTTTGTGTCTCGCCTCTGAGCACGCTCCAGCGTGTCCTTATCCTTCTGGAGTGAGTGAGGAAACATAATATTTTCATTTTCTAAATAGGGTTGAATAAAACTGTTGAAGAATATGCGGAAAGTTCTGTCGACATAACCAAAAATGCTCTTCAATGTCACCAGTTCAAGGTTTTCTTTGAAGGTGCTTGTGCTGCAGTTAGGGTAAAACCTCAGATCATAAGTTACCAACACTCCTGAATTTTTTCAACTTGTGATGCCTCACGAGGGTTGTTATCTTAGTTGTATTCGTAGCCTACAACATATTTCAGACGGACTACTTTACACTTTGATGTGCCGAAAGGAAGTTCGTCGTCACATGTCCAACTTTTAAGTGGAGTCAGATCCTCCTGAAATACGAGTTTACTACCTCGATTGCAAACTGATGTCCAGAGTCCCACATCATCAGCAAAAAGTATTAAATCTGGCGACACTTGCTGAGGAAGTTTATTTATGTAAATCAAAAAAGAAGGGTTCTGAGTACTGCATTCTCGGGAACCTCACTAAGACATTTGTAGCCCGAGAAAAAATGAGGTTTAATCCTACCCTAAACAGTCGATTATTTAGATATGATATAAGCCAATAAATTAATGGCGACTTGATGCCAAATCGTTTGAGCTTCTAGGTAGAACATAAATAACTAATCGTATCAAAAGGTTTTTGGGAAACCAAAGCATATGATATCAACCTTCTCCTTGGGGTCAAGGATGGTTTGCCATCAGTTAAACGTAGTTAGCAAGTTGATTACCCTATCTGAAACCGTGCTCCAGAAATCAAAATAAATTTATGGGTATTAAGTGATCATGTTGACCATAGTATATCCGTGACTCTATAACTTTTGAGGGTGTTAGGAGAAGTGCTACCGGCATGTAGCCCGAAGGTTTGCTGCGTCTGCCTCCTTCTAAAGACGGATCAATGTGAACCAGCTTACAATTATCGGGGAAGGTGCGTCGGCTTAGCGAATTGGAAAACACCATACCAACAAGAGTCACCAAGATTAAAACCACTTCTCATAGTATTGTAGAATGAAGCATATCTGGGTCAGGAGAAGTGTCCTTGAATCGATGCTGCAGATCTCAATACACCAAGTCAGCAATCATGTTCACTTCTGAGAATCCATCGTTGTTGAATGGGACCACACCTAGCAAATACATAATTAAATCATAATTTCTGTGAAGTTATTTATAAACTAGTTTTCGAAAACGTCAGTGAAGTAATGGATGCCTAGTAACCATGTTAGTTGTTCAACAGATTTTTTAATGGATAAAATAAATGAAAATCATTTCAGAGAGACTGAATTGCATTAGCGCAAGATTTAGTGCTTTAATGTAAAAGAACAAAATGATCGAGTCAGACTAATGTAACTTGTGAAAATATGATAAACAAGGGGATACACATTCTGAAAGAAATTGCAATTATTATGATCATTGACTTGGTGGATATGAGGTGGTCAAGATTGAGAAGGAGATTAAATCTGATGTTGTTTTATCTGCACGCGAACTGGTACTAGCATTTGAAGAATATGCATTATAATTGTGTCAAATGGATTACAAGTGCCTTTATACACAATGCTTTGTTTTAACTAGGCACTCAAAGACTGAGATGTTTACAATCGTAAATGTTACTTTTAAATGTTATCCTGGAAGAAACCATCAGGTACAGAAAAGTGAATTCAACATTTTTATAATTAGTTCGAAATAACCTTTTTAATCAATATCACTATGATAATACTTGCAAACTAAAAGTTGTATTTTTTGCATTGTCAATATTTTTCACAAGTAGCAAACAACATGAATAAATAAACACTTAGTTCATCAATGTGCTTTACAGGCATGAATTTAGAAGTCTATTCGAGACTAAAAAGTAAATGTGAAGAAAAGAAATAATTCGTAACAATTTTTATCACCCTGAAGGGACATTCATAAAAAAAAGAAGATTAACGTTTTTGA